CAGGCCAGTCCTGAAGTTGATTTACAAAAAAATTTGTCTGCAGTAGGGGTAGCTGGATTGGCCTTACGAGTAGATTAGAATTGGGGGTACATTTAAAGGGAAACGTATTTCAGCGTTGTAGTAGTTTGCAATGAATTGCCACTCCTATGTTTTCGGCAACATCCTGACAGTGCTTACAAGAATTCTCTCTGCGTTCTTATTCCTAGCGGTGTTGATTTTTGTTTCCTTCTTGGTATGGGGGAAAATCTTGAAGCACCAGTTTTACTCCCTGTTTCAAGCTAAAAATTAGTTCACCCCTTGAAAGTATGCAACAGATATATACAGGTTTAACGGCTTCTCAGAGTAGTAACTCATTCTTTAAGTCGTTAGAGATGGAATAGCCATAAACGCAATATTGCCCTACACCTACACCTATAATAATGGCTTAACGATAATATTCTTCGAATGCGCTATCCTCTGGCTGAATAAGTATGTTGTTTAACGTTAATAAAATATGCCACTTCTAAGATAGACTTGTTTGAATACTGATATACTCGTAGTTCGAATAGTATATATAGTATATATATATATAATAGGTGATTTTTTTGCTAGTATCTTTTTGGCAACACTGTTTTTGACAGATGACGCGTGAATCGTGTCTTGTGTCATTGCCAAACTTGTTCAGTTTGGTCTATAATTTAACCATGAATCGACTTACGAACGTACAACGCTTGCAAGTTATTGAATTTTACTATCAAAATTCATGCTCGGTTAAGAGAGTTCATCGAGCACTGCTTCCAATTTATGGGCAATTTGGTCGGCCTACTGAGGGATCTATTCGGAAGCTTGTGACTAAATTTCGAACCCAGTTTACATTACACTGGACAACAAATTTTAGTTTTTCAATTGTATCTTGTGGGAAAAGTGCACATCTTTGTTAATTTTGGGGCGCTGAATTCTAAAATGACAATGAAATAATAAAAATAGTTGCGGTTTAGAAAAAAAACTTTTTATTTTTAAGGATATATTAAAAAAGTAACAAGATTCATATACTTATAAGAATCACTATATGCGCTGTCTTTTTGCTGTTCTTTTATGGATCGTTTCTGGAGCATCTCTACCAAGAGTCCAACAGTAGTCTGCAAGCATGGAAGGATTCCACTTTCCCTGGTAAAAGTCCAGGTGTGAGTGTAGGAAATGTATCTTAAGAGACATATTACAGCCCATCTTTTGATACGATGACAGCATATTTTTGACATGGGTTTTATAGTTGTCAGCTTTTCTATTTCCCAAGAAATTAGTGACCACCAGACGGAAATCATTCCAAGCAGTTCAATACCTGATAAAGTGTTTTCAAACTGTGTATATTTCAAAATATTTCGAATCTGTGGCCCAACAAAAATACCTTCTTTAACCTTTGCCTCACTTAGTCTTGGAAATTTCTGACGCAGGTATTGAAAAGCTGACCCATCTCTATCTAATGCCTTGACAAAGGTTTTCATTAGGCCCAACTTGATATGCAGTGGTGGTAATATAATTCTTTTCGAATCTACTAATGGCATAAGCTGTACATTTTTTTGACCTGGCTCTAGGAATTGACGAACAGGCCAGTTTTGTCTGGTGTAATGAAGTGCCTTTGCCCGACTGTCCGATTCACACAAAAAACAGCAAAACTTTGTGTAGCCTAGCTGCAGCCCAAGTAAAAGTGCAACAACTTTCAAATCGCCACAAATATGCCATTGGTGCTCATCGTATTTTATGCATGTCAATAGGTACTTCATATTGTCATATGATTCTTTCATGTGAACTGCATACCCTACAGGAAGAGATGGTAAAATATTTCCAATATGCAATAACACTGCCTTTAGACTCAATGTTGAACTGTCTATAAACAATCTCCATTCTTCTGGGTTATAGTTTATATTTAAAGCCGCCAGTAAGCCGTTAATGTTACTGCAGAAAACCAAGTTATTTCCATATTGAAAAATGGTTCTAAGTATTTGTGGCGTTTACGAAAAACACATACCGAAACATCGTCTTCTAACAAGTTCCACTGCTGCAGTCTTGATCCAAGTAACTCTGCCTTACATTTTGGAAGTTCTAAATCTCTTACAAGATCATTTAATTCTGACTGTGTTATTTTGTGCGGTTGGTGGCATGACGTGCTCGGTATAAAATCAGGATCTCTTGACGTTGATGGCATATCTTCTTCCTGACGAATCACTCGATCGCCATTATCTGATTCGTTTTCTGATTCTGGGGGTTTTGGAATAGGATTTTCGTCACTGTGAGGCACAGGTCTCATCGCAGATGGTATGTTTGGGTAGTTAATAACCGATTTTTTTTCTTGGACATACCTGTGGCTTGTCCAACACAAGGTACCATGCAAAAGTAACAATCATTAATATGATTTGTAGGCTCCAAACCATTGGGACCACAAAGCGCATAGACCGTTTTTTGCCATTTAACCAGCTCCTCAGACTTGAAGCACATGTATTACAGCAGATGTGGGGTGCCCACTGTTTGCCTTGATCACCTAGTTTACAACCGAAATAAAGCTGATATGCCTTTGTTATTAGTGGAGTAATAGACCGTCTCTGAGACGCAAAAGTCACATCACCACACACGTAACAAAACTGATCTGGATTGTTTACACACTTTCGAGACATCTTGCATGAACGCTGTCAGCCAACTGAGGAAAAAATGGCTAATATAAAACAATATAATGTACACGTATGTATAACGTAACACAATCATGCTGATTACATCATCTTTCCTTGCCGAATATAAAAATGTAGCACGTGCATTCTTGTGAATTACAGTATATTAACACTGTCACAGCAGGAACACATATAATTACCGTATCTCTAAAACTTGAATTAATATTGAAAAAATAAGTTTCATTTCGGTTTTAGCACATTAAAAATAGTAATATTTTTTTGATTTTATTTAGGATATTTTTTGGCTGTTGATCAGTGTATTGGACATTAAACTACCAACACGCAGACGTAGAGTGAGGACTGAAGAAAATATTGCGGCTGTATCCGCCAGTGTTAGTGATGACCGTGAACTGTCGATTGGCTGCCGTTCGCAGCAATTGGGCCTCTGTTACTCCACTACGTGGAAAATTTTATAAGATACAGCTGGTGCAAGATTTGAAGCCACACGACCTCCCACAATGTTTCCAATTTGGTGAATGGGCGCTGGAAAAGTTGAAGGAAGATCCACATTTTTATCGAAAAATTGCGCTCAGCGACGAAGCTCATTTCTGGTTGAATGGGTACGTTAACAAGCAAAATTGCCACATCTGGAGTGAAGACCAGCCAGAAGCATTGCAAGAACTACCAATGCATCCCGAAAGAATCATTGTTTGGTGTGGATTATGGGCCGTACTTCTTCAAAGACGACAATGGCCGGAACGTAACTGTGAATGGCGAGCGCTACCGTGCGATGATAGCAAACTTTTTTTTTGCCCAAAATGGAAGAGCTGGACTTGGCTGACATGTGGTTTCAACAAGACGGTGCCACATGTCACACCGCACACCAAACAATGGCCCTATTGAGAGGCGAGTTCGGTTTATCAGTTTATCTCACGTTTGGGGCCCGTCAACTGGACGCCTAGATCGTGTGATTTAACGCCGTTGGACTATTTCTTGTGGGGCCATGTTAAGGCTAATGTCAACAGGGCTAAACCAGCAACGATTGGCGCGCTGGAAGCCAATATTGAAGCATTTATTCGTGAGATAGCGGCCGATATGTTGGAGAGAGTGTGCCAAAATTGGACCTTGCGCATGGGCCATCTAAAGCGGTGCCGCGGCCAACATTTACATGAAATCATCTTTAAACATTAAATTATATCGACCATTCTATCGACTCAAATAAAGATTTAATCGTTTTTTCAAGTCTTGTGTTTTTTTTGAAAGTCAAATCCATACCTCTTAAAAAATCACCCGTTATATATATAGATATAGTAATCGAACTAAAATGAAGAAAATAATTTTTAACTACAAAGAGCTGAAACTGCAGTAGTAGATGCTCGAACAATCAATCATAATTAATGACCTCAAAGTAAAATTATAATAAAATTTAAGTTATTAACAGAATAATTCAATTCAGTGTAAAAAGCGTAGGGTGCTTGATATATTAAATGTTACAATCATTCTATTGGTAACTATCTATGAGAGGAGAGTTATGAAAATGTAGTAAAATGCGCCCCACGCTTTTTACTCTGAATTGAATTATTCTCTTAATAACTTAGATTTAATTATGATTTTGAGGTCATTAATTATGATTGATTGTTCGACTGTTACTGTAATATAAACTCTTTGTAATTAAAAATCATTTTCTACTTTTTAGTTCGGTTAGCTATAAAAGAGTGTGTTTTAGTTTTGTCAAACTATTACTTAGTTTTCATTTTTTAGTTCGATCTATCAATTAGTTTTTTTGTGGACATGTGGTATCGAAACGTCTTACGAATCATTTCGTAATCTAATCATTTCATTTAAAGCTTCACTGTTGCCTGGGGTTTTTTCCTGTTAACTTGGAGCAAACAAGTTCTTCAATCCGAAGATCTTCACGACCAAGTACTACATAAGCTTGTCCAGCAGCAAACAGTCGCGAGCCTAGATAAATGACTTCATGATCAACCTTGCATCGTGTGGACGTTCGAGGGATTAATGGCAACACTCGCAATGAACATGGCGAGAATGCACTACCTTGATAAGGTATCTGCCTGTGTTGTGCTGTACCGAGTGCCCGAACCAGCAAAGGGTAAGACTGCAAGCATGCGCAGATCGCGTGCTAGCTGTATCTCTCTTACTCCCCTACAGACGATCTATAAGAGATTTTATCAATCGTGGCAGTCCTAATAAGGATAATGGAAAACTGTTATCAAATTATTGCATTGATCAAAATTCCGGAAATTAATGAAAATTATGCCCAAAGATTCCGCTACATACGTACATACAGGCCAAGCTAATAAAAGCGTGTTAAAAAAATTAAGAAAAAGGTATGCCACAATCCGCCTCCTTAGAGAATTGAACTCACGACTCCTGTTTTACAAGACCAGTGCTCTGCCACTGGGCTACATAGGCTTGTAGTCTTAGTATTCCTAAAGCGGCATTTGAAATACGTTGCTTTTTATAAACATATCTACTTTTTACAGAATTTTAGTTATGAACAAAGAGAATGGAACACTATATTGCATGGTCATCGGTACTTGATACGTGTGTGTAGTTTCAGACTAATCAAACTTCTGGAAATTGGTGAACATTGTGCTCAAAGATTCCGATACATCCATACATACATACATACAGGCCAAGCTAATAAAAGTGTGTTAATAAAAAGTAAAAAGATTGTGTGATCTTAAAATTTATGTCCGGGAAGCTTTTCGAGTCACAATATCACCGTAGGACAGCCCTCTACGACTGTTTTTATGGAAACTTGTCACATTTTAGTAAGTGATACGCTGACAAATTTTGTTGCATCCATCAGACATTTTGATGTAGTAGGTGTTAGATCAAATAATGTCTCAAAATTACGGCTATACTCGTGTATCTGAAAGATATGGGAGAAATATGTTTGACCATGGCAAGCAAAGATATATCTTTCTGTTGTACCCATGCCCGTATAAGCATCAAGTAATTGTGTGTACAAGAAAACGTATCATTTGAAGTTATAAATCATTTTCATGCTCAGAATAATCACCAGGATTTAACAGAACGATTCCTCAATGACCGCAATGTACATTATCCTTCTATTAGGAAAACTCCAAATACGGTTAATACGTCTAAAAAATTAATTTCTGAAACATCATGTGGTTTTCTGCTTCATTCACCTTACTTCCTGTACCAGCGTGGCCTGTTACTACATGACTACATGGTTTATTAAAAATAATTACTAGTCGTTGCCACTTTGATTCGTAAATCCATAATACTGCCTTTGCGGCGAAATATAGAATTTGGAATGAAATTTTGCTTTCAATTCTCAAATGCCCAGGAAATATATTCAATGGCTAAGCGACCAAATTATACTCACTTTGGAATCAAAACGCTCAGTTTATAGATAATATAGAAGCTATTCCGTCTATACCCTAAGCGCGCATGCTGCCCATGGCACTGGCCTGATGCAGACCCACCAAATGCTCGAAATTCTTTAAAAATGTCTATTCAATTTTCTTCACAGGCAAAGTGAAGCTCCGGATTTCAGTGTGCGGGGTCCCTGTGTGCCAGGGGCTTTTTCATAGCTTGAGACGGGCTTGTGTAGAAATCAATTTTAGTATTTAAATAATTTTGTTAGAGAAATTTCGAAAAATAAAAATTAATTTTAAAAATTATTTAAAAATCGTAATAAGGTAAAACTTAGGATAAAAGATAGTTTTCAGTTTTCGTACATTGTCCTACCTGAGATCAAGCCTAGACCATGCTGATGAGTTGCTAAAAAACACATAACAGCTGTCCATGGTTGGCCGTCTGTGTTCGGACGGACGAAAAATGTATCGCTATAATGGTTAATGTATTTTTTCTAAACATTTTTGTGGAATAAGGGTACGTGTTCCATGGTTCTGACATAAGTGTGCCAAAATAAAATCGGAATCTCTCAGATACGTATTGGATACACAAAATAATTCTTGTATTACTAGGCTCCCCTACGGTGATATATGCTTGTGTCTGAGTAACCAACTGAGATTTAAATAGAAACCTCCTTTGGAAGGCTGATTCAAATTGTCTAGTCGGTATCCAAGTCCATGTATTAACTGGAGGATTCGTAGGGTTATGGGGGAAAATGTTCTGTTGGTATAACAATAAAAATGTGAACTTTATACAATGTGAGAAGATTGGATATTTAGATCTATTAAGCAATAATTGCAATATTTCTACGTTAAAACGAAAGGCTCATATGTGTATACCATGTTTTGGAATTATGATTATGAAGTCGTGAAAAAATCATATTTCTGTACTGGATAAGGGCAACGGCTTAAAATCTGATATACGAGTACATGTATTATGGAAGCAAACACAAAAGAAGCTCTGCTGACATAAGAATAAAAAATGTAATTCTCCTGAACATTATACAGGGTGTTTCAGTTTATTGTTGCTAACTTTAAGATTCGATAGAACTTTTAAAATTAATGCATACAGTCTATATAAACACGGGTCGAAAAATGCGTGTTTTCCGAAATACAGGGTGTTTAAATTTACTTTTTGAAATAGCTTTTTTTAAATATTTTGAACAATATTGGATGTATAACAGTGAAAATTGGTATACAAGGGTTATTTGGTACGACAAAACGAACCATGGGCATAGTTTTACTGTAGCCGCTAGAGGGCGCTCTCTACTGTACCTGTAGTGTATTAAAATGACAGAAAATTTTTTCTTAGTACAATTTTTTGCTTTTGGAATAAAAAAAACTGATTCTTCGCAATTTTGTGCATAAAAAAGCTCTTCTGTGAGTTTTCGTTATAGTTAGCCGTTTTTGAGATATTTCGATTTTTACGGTTCGATGCATTTTTAATTATTTATGGGAAAATAATATTTTTTTTACATTTTCGATTTGGGCATTACAAGTAATTAAGATGATCATTTAGATTGTGTTTTTAAACACAGCAATAATTCCTAACTCAAAATAAACACAAAAAATATTAATTTGTTTAATTTTCCAATATTATTTTTAACAAATTAAATTAATTATTTACAACTAAAATGCTATTGGATAGTTAGGACAAACATACAAAATCTAAAGTACTTGCTCGAAATGTAAACCCAATTGTTCAATACACAATTCACACCTACGAATGATCGAACGTGGTATAGCATTATTCAAAAAAGGCCTTATTTCATCACATGCATTCCTGATTCTGTCTATTAGCATATCTCTTGTGGTTACGGGAGTTTGGTACACTTTTTCTTTTAGAAATCCCCACACAAAGAAATCTAATGGATTTAGGTCAGGGGATCGTGGAGGCCAGGCGACTGGTCCTCCACGGCCGATTCATCCTTCTGGAATTTTCGTCCAGCCAGTTTCTAACTATTCTCGGATAATGAGCTTGACAACCATCAAGCTGGAACCAGGCCAATCTTGTTAAACCTAACATAACATCATCCCACATATTTGCATGTTCAGCCTTTAAAAATCCCAAGAAGGTCGCAGCATTTAACCTTGCAGGCAAAAGGTAGGGTCTAAATAGTCGATTACGGTAGATACAAATCCACACGTTCACACTAAATTCATGCTGAAAATTTCTTTCCCGAACTGCATGCGGATTTTCATGCGACCAAATATCTTGATTATGAAAATTTATCACTCCACGTCTAGTGAAGCATGACTAATCGGTCCATAAAACGTTACTTAAAAACTCCCTATTATTATCAGTTCTATCAAGAATCCACTGACAAAATGTGATTCTTCGTTCTCCGTCCTCTGGCTGTAGTCCTTGCACAGGTTGCAAATGGTAAGGACGTCTATGGTCATTTCTAAGAGCACAGTGAACATGGCTTGCTGAAATTCCCAAGGCACCAGAAACTCTCCTAACACTTGTGGTCGGCTCTCTATCAAACTCACGCAGAATCATATGGGTAAATCTGCACTGACGAACATTTATGTTTTGATCCCTTTGGAGATTTCCAAAACCATTTTCAATTATTTGGCGATGCACTCTTACAAATACTGAGCGAGTTGGATGTCGTCTGTTTGGAAATCTTCGTGCGTATTCTCTGGCCGCTTCTGCTGCGTTTCCATTTACAAAGCCATACACAAAATGAATATCCGCTAACTCTTGATTGGAGAATAAAAATGGCATTTTTATAAAACTTACAAAAAAAAAACAGGTAAAAGAAACTAAATTTCGTGCATTCACAATTGAAAAAAAACGTTTCAGGTTTCAACAGACAACAAAACAAACTGTCAACTAATTGACGTTTAACCTTATTCTGCTTTCAGTTTCAAAAATATTTGCAGGCACAGCCTACTTCTGAAAATTATCGAGATACTGACTTTTTAATGTTATTTTATCATAAATAATTAAAAATGCATCGAACCTTAAAAATCGAAATATCTCAAAAACGGCTAACTATAACGAAAATTTACAAGCGAGCTTTTTTATGTTGAAAAGTGCGAAGAATCAGTTTTTTTATTCAAAAAGCTAATAATTGCACTAAGAAAAATTTTTCGGTCATTTTAATATACTACAGGTACAGTAGAGAGCGAGCTCTAGCGGCTATAGTAAAACTATGCCCATGGTTCGTTTTGTCGTACCAAAAAACCCTTGTATACCAATTTTCACTGTTATACATCAAATATTTAAAAAAAACTATTTTAGAAAGTAAATTTAAACACCCACTATTTCGGAAGCCACGCAGTTTTCGACCTATGTTTATATAGACTTTATGCATTAATTTTAAGAGTTCTATCGAATCTTAAAGTTATGCAACAATAAACTGAAACACCCTGTATAATGCGAATTATGCGATTTATCACTCACAAAACTAACACGAAAGGCTCTTAGGGATATGAGTATCGGATTGACCGCTTACAGAGATTACATCAATGTGTGATTAAGAAATCGAAAAAATTGTATTTCCCTAGCGGATAAGGGTAACTACTTGTACATGTAGTATGAACAGAATAATCAACACAGGGAGCACAAAGTGAAAGATACGTACAATACCCGATTATCAAATTCACCAACATGAGGGATGATTTCGAAAAATATAGAGAAAAACGTATCAAAGTTGTTGCTCTTATTATGAAGAAAAGATTGACAGATGCAAAGGAGACAGCTAAAAAATGTAGAGAACCTTGAAAGATCTCGTTAATAACAAACATGTGCACATTGATTACATGTCTTTGAAATTAATGGCTGTGACACTATACAGAATAAATTGAACAATTATTTCAAGAGGGTAACTGATATTTGTATAGTAAGAACCAAACCTTCAAGCAATGAGGAAGCTGTAACGGCAGCAGTGCCTTTAGAAGAGGAATATTGGTTTGAAGAAATTTCACTGAGTAGGCTACGCGAAACTGTTTTTCAACTGAAGATAAATATATGAGCGATGAAGTACTTACCTGCAGTTTGGTGAAGCAGCTGTTTGA